ATCTTCTACGTTTAATCTTTTTGTCCTTTTTATTTCATTTCTATCAATCGTGGCAGCTTTTCTTTTCCGATTATGAACTAATACGATACGAGGTTTCTTTTTTGAAATTTCATTATCTTCATCATCATTTAGAATGCTTTTAGGTCGAACTCTATCTAATGGATAATCGTCTGCGATATCAAAATCTTTCTTATCTTCATATGTCTGTGGTTTCGATTTGTTGTTTTCTTTTCGCTGCTGTGTCTTCTTTTTCTTCTTTTGGCTGCAAATATTCTTTTTCTCTTTCTGATTTATCATCTTGGCTAAAGAATCCTCAATTTCGTATAAACTTTTTTTAGTTTTTTGTAGTTTTTTTAAACAAGTTTGAATTAATCTCCTGGAACGGTAATAGCAACCACCACCGCCGCGGTCTGTATTTGGAATGCCCATTCCGAGTTTTAATTTTGTTTTCATTGCCGCCGTTACTCCTAAAGCGGCAATTTTCTCCTTCCACCCGGAATTTTTAGCTTTAAATCTCGCTAAAGCCTTGGAAGCTAATACTTTATCTGCCTCGTGACGTTTGTTTAAATCACTTTCCGTTGAATAGGCGATATCGTGTTGTTTGCATGCATTGTAAAAACCGTTTATGCCGGAATCGTTTTTAGCGAGACGTTTTTCAACTTTTGTACCGGGGCCGCACCAATTATACCCCGGAATATGCATTTCAAAAGGCAATTTGTTGATTACCGTATTTAATAAACCGTTACCTGATGCGTAACATTTCATGCTGACGATCGTGTGTGTTCGTTTTGTTAGTACAAACTAATATAAAAAGTTTGTAAGTCATCTATTTTATATCATTATGAATAGTACGGTGTTTTAGAAAACAATCACATTATGAAACTTATTAAACAAAGTACTACATTAGATATTGAAAATAATACGTTTCACGAAAAATCTTACAAGAGGCATGGTAAATTGTTTCCCGCAACAATAAGATGTATTATCGTGGGTCCTTCGAATTGCGGTAAAACTAACGTGATGATTAATTTAATCGAACAGGAGAACGGTGTAAAATTTGAAAACGTATACATTTATTCGCGATCTTTGAACCAACCAAAATATATTTACCTGGATCAACTGCTGAAATAAATAAAAGGTATTCGTTATTTTACATTTAACGCCGGTGAAAGCATTATGCATCCGTCGGAGGCTAAACCGAACAGTATTTTCATTTTCGACGATGTAGCGTGCGACAACCAAGATGTCATACGCGAATACTTTAGTATGGGACGACATAATAAAATTGATTCGTTTTATTTATGTCAAACGTATGCTAAAATACCTAAACATCTTATAAGAGACAATGCTAATTGTCTCGTAATTTTCAAACAAGACGATTTAAATTTGAAACACATATACAACGATCATATCGGTACCGATATGACTTTTGAACGTTTTAAAGAAATGTGTGCTTTATGCTGGAACGAAGCGTTTAGTTTCCTAACTGTATTTAAAGACTGCGATATTAATCAAGGAGGTCGATATAGGAAAACATTTGATTGCTTCATACATTTCTAATCGTCCTGTCGCGGCGGCGGCGGCGGAAGCTGTTTCGACCTGTTCAGGAGCTGTTCAGACCTGTTCAGAAGCTGTTTAGACCTGATCAAGAGCTGTTTTAGACCTGTTCAGGAGCTGTTTAGGTCCCCGATCAAAAGTTGTTTACGCCTGATCAGAGAGAGCTGTTCCTATAAAGGTTATTCACTAGTGGTTCTACATTCAGAACGTAACTTGCTATAGACGGTGATATCGAGCGCTATGATCAGTCAACAAAATGATAAAGTTTTGAAAAAACGATTAATTTCTAAACGTAAGGATATAAGAAAAAAACTTGAAGAATTAAAACGTGGTGAAATGATGCAAGAGACAATGTTTAAGCCTATTACAAAACGATTGAAAAATATCGAGTCTTCTTTGCAAAATTCAACAAGAACAACAACGCCAGCAACCACGACGACGAAGACGACTCTAGTAAGTGATGTAACACAAACTACTCCAAAGTATCATCTTCCCGTAAAAGTGGAGGAGCCCGCCTCCGCCGCAGCAGCAGCAGCCGCCGCCACAGCAGAAGAACAAACTTTACCACTATCATTAATTCAAAAGAAACGAAAAATATTGCCCAGACAGTTATCATTTAATTCGACTCCTATTAGTAATTACGATTCACCGAGTGAAATGAAACAATCAATTATAGATGAAATTGATTCAGATTATGAAGACAACGTAGTAAACGTAGACAAGGAATCTACTAGTCGATTTGAAGATATCGGACCAGTGTCTTTTATTGAATATTTGGATCAATACGATCCATTACCACGGAAATATATTCGAGAAATGTACGAAGATACCGAAAATAGAGAGTTTGATCACAAGTATGGCGTTAGAATGGATAAAAGTACTGAAAAATTTTTTATTGGTAACTCACAAGTAGATATTCAAGGATCAGATATTTATGTTCAAGGAAAACGGTACAGAGGTACTCAAGGTTTATACGAATTGTTATTTAAAAAGTATCCTAACAATAGTTTATTTAACGAACAAGACAGGGAAAATTATAAACAAATTGTATACAAAACGAACGCTCACAAAAGACATTATAAACCCAATGCTCAAATTGACGGAAGTAAGCTGAAAAAATATAAAAATATTATTGCACCAACAACAACAACTGGGGGAAAGGGTTTAATGACAACAATGGAAGTGACACCCAATAAAAAAGATTACATTTATTGGGACGATCCAAATGAATTAGTCGATCGATTGCGTCTACTCGTATCGTCACAGTCTGCAGGTCATACGGGTCACTTAAATGAGATAAATTCGCTAATTGAAGAATTGCGCGAAGCCGATATTATAGAATGAAGCCGTCGAAATTTATTACGGATGCCAAGCGACAAGTTGTCGAGGAACTTCATAAACCTGCTCGTATAAACTTTAAACGTAGAAAAACTATAATTAAATCTTTATATGATCTGTTTCAAGCTGACCTTATCGAAATGATTCCGTACGCAAAACAGAATCGTGGATACAAATACATACTAATTGTAATAAATTGTTTTTCTAAATTTGTTTGGGCGCTACCTGTAAAAAATAAGTCGGGAGCGGAAGTGACGAGAGCTATGGAAACAATTTTAAAGTCCACCAAAAAACCAAAAAATTTACAAACTGACGCTGGAGCTGAATTTTTTAACAAAGACTTTCAAAATTTAATGAAAAAATATCATATCAATCATTATAATGTATTTAGCGAGAAAAAGGCCGCTATAGTGGAAAGAGTGAACCGTACCATAAAAAATATAATGTGGAAAGAGTTTAGTCTACGAGGAAACTATAAATGGATCGACATATTATCGGAAATTGTTAGAAACTACAATAATACACATCACAGCGTAATTAAAATGAAACCGGCCGATGTTATAAAAAAGCACGAAAAAAATCTAATAGAAACGGTGTTTAATCGAATAAAAATGACAAATCTTAATACCAAATTTAAGATTGGCGATCGCGTACGAATATCGAGGAGGCGAGGGGTTTTCGATAAAAAATACCAACCAAATTGGTCAACGGAAATTTTTACGGTAGATAAAGTTCAACTAACCAATCCCACTACGTATTTATTAAAAGATGAAAATAATCAAAATATTCTCGGTGGATTTTACAACGAACAATTGCAAAAAGTGAAGTTTCCAGACGTTTATCTAGTTGAAAAAATTCTCAAAAGGAAACGCGATAAAGTGTTTGTAAAGTGGTTGGGGTTTGATAACAAACAATAGTTGGATAGATATAAATAATGTTGCGTAGGTTTGAGGAAGATTCAGTTGCAAATTAGTAGTGCTCGTAGAACATTTAAAAAATGTTTATCCTCGACGTTCAAGGATTTCAGTATAAACAGAGCGATTATATCGTTAGAGAAATCGCAATTATAAACGTGTCCAGTGGAAAAGTGTTTCATAGAATGGTGAAAACACCTTGTCCGTATAACTGGTTCACAGGTGAAATTAGAAACCATCTTTTGAAGACCACGAATCGTGTCCACGGACTATCCTGGGATGAAAAAGAAGATGAGACCTGTCTACCTCAAGAAAGTGTAGTTAGTTTTATTAGAAACATTGTACAAAATAACTATATCTATGTTAAAGGCAATTGTAAGGTAAACTATTTAAAATCACTGCTTTATTACAATGATATTGATATTGTCGATTTACATGACATTGGATGTCCAAATTTTAAAAGTTTAAAAGAAAATAACCAGTATAATTTTCATTGTAATAATCACTTTTATAATTTCTCTAATTGTGCCAAAGAAAATGTACTATTGCTGAGAAATTGGTATATTAATAAAAATTATCTTAAAAAATGAACTTGTTGTTTTATTAACTTTAACCATAAGAACAATTAAAATGATTTTTATCATGTGATGGAAAAATTAAACAAGTTATAACTCGAATATTTTTTTATTATTTTTATTTACTAACTAACTAAAAACGATTAATTTCTAAACGTAAGGATATAAGAAAAAAACTTGAAGAATTAAAACGTGGTGAAATGATGCAAGAGACAATGTTTAAGCCTATTACAAAACGATTGAAAAATATCGAGTCTTCTTTGCAAAATTCAACAAGAACAACAACGCCAGCAACCACGACGACGAAGACGACTCTAGTAAGTGATGTAACACAAACTACTCCAAAGTATCATCCTCCCGTAAAAGTGGAGGAGCCCGCCGCCGCCGCCGCAGCAGAAGAACAAACTTTACCGCTATCAGTAATTCAAAAGAAACGAAAAATATTGCCTAGACAGTTATCATTTAATTCGACTCCTATTAGTAATTACGATTCACCGAGTGAAATGAAACAATCAATTATAGATGAAATTGATTCAGATTATGAAGAGAACGTAGTAAACTTGTTGTTTTATTAACTTTAACCATAAGAACAATTAATATTATTTTTATCATGTGATGGAAAAAATTAAACAAGTTATAACTCGAATATTTTTTAATATTTTTATTTACTAACTACACTAAATTTTTGACTTTCAAACTCTTCCGCGTCGTCGTCTAAAACGAAGCAAAAATCTTCAACTTTGCTGGTACTGGGAGTGGTGGTAGTCGTCGTCATCGTCGTAGTGGTGGCTGATTTTAAAATTCTGTTTTCCAGAATTTTTATTTTCTCTTCTTCCGAAGCCGGCTTGAATTTTTTAGCCGGTACCGGTTCGTCCTCCTCTATGGCAGCCGCATAAAAATTGACGTCCGAGAATTCACGCATCCCCTTCAATAACAATTGTAATTCTTCCTCGTCATCGGCCGCCACTCTCAGGTATCGGACGGGAAGATTTTTTAATTTTCCCTGAACCGTTTCATTCTTCGGTGAATATTTCAAATACAAGTGAACTCTCTTGTTCACAATCTTCACTTCTTTCCTCCCATACCTATGATAATTTGATAGATTTTTAGTAAATTATGGAAAACAAAACAATGAAGGTGACAGACTTACCTGAATAAATTTTTTAAAAATACCGCCAGCATCTTGTTGGAAAGTCTGGCGGGATCCGTTGACTCAAAAATTAATGTTGACGGAGTGTCCATAGTCGTTGTGTACAATGATTCCTTGTCGTAGAGTTCGATATATTTATATGCATTTATTTTTTTTAATTATTATCTATCCTAAAATTTCCACTTCGTCAGCACGATAATAACACAGTGCATTCATAATATTAAAAGCGATTACGTTATATTTATCAATTGCGCAAAACATAATAGTTTTGACCCTAACCCCGCTATCCGATAAAAGCGGTAAAATTCTACAAAGTGATATTATTTATCACATACGCGTCTATTAGAATAGACAAAAAAGTCTGCTGCGTATAAGTAAAAATGTCTGAAATCAGTGAGTTGAGTGAAAAAACGCTGCTGAAAATTAAAGAAGTTGGTGAGTTAATTAAAACAAAACATGAATATTGCAAGTGGATAAAATTTCTGAACAGAAACAATTTAATTTTGAAAAAATATTTAAAAAGTGTATCGTCATCGTTGACAGACAGAAAAGCGGTGGCAAAAATAGAATCAAATTTAAGTCTTTTAAAAAATTTTAAATAACAATTCAAACATCATAAAACAGTTAAAAAAAATAATGCAAAATTAATTTGGGTTGATAACGAGTCTTGCTTTAAAAATCGTATTAAAACGGGAGCAATAGTTAATTTAGATATTAAAGATCCTATAATATTTTTTAGCAAGGCGTTTAGATCATTCTCTTGTCAAATAAAAAAAGCCCTTCGTTAGTCCCTAATTAAAGTTAACGTAATATTTCTTGCAGATTTTGTAAAACCACAAACAGCCGAAACCGATGTAAAACATTTTTCCACCAAAAATCGCGTCATCGATCATAATACCGATTTGAAAGAATTTTATAGTAATTATATTAAAAATAATATATTAACAAAATTAGAGGATTTTCAAGAGAGGGATTCTGGTTGGGCTCTTCACCGGATTCTACAATTAAAAGTTAACATTAATAATTATACACCGACAAATATCGGTCTTTCAACTTATGTATCGATGCCAAAATTTATTATTAATAAAAAAGCTGTTCTTAATATTCAAAATAACGATGAATATTGTTTTCTTTGGTCTATCGTTGCCGCGCTACATCCTTGTCGTACAAATCAAAATCCGCGTATTACCTATTCATATCCTCATTTCAGTGAAGTTTTAAAATACGATGGCATTGAATTTCCAATCAAATTAAAAGACATAAAAAAGTTTGAAGAAATGAATAATATTTCCATAAACGTTTTCTCATTAGAAAAGCGGGAAATTGTACCGGCGTGTTTAAGTCAATTCTCTTATTTAAGAACGGTTAATTTATTGATGCTTCCCACCGATATAACCAATGATTACGACGACGACGACGACGACGACGACGACGTCGACAACAATAATCTCTCTAATCACATTAACAATTTTGAGACAGTTTTTCATTTCGCATTAATTAGAAGTTTATCACGGTTATTATCGAAACAAAGCGGAGATTCGACTCATAGCAGATTTTATTGCGATAGGTGCTTAAATCATTTTTATTCACAACAAACTTTAAATAAACACATATTTAGTTGCAGAAAATTAAATAAAACCAAAATTACGCTCCCAACTAAACAAGAGAAACACGTAACATTTTCGCATTTTAAAAATAAAGAAAAAGTACCGTTTGTTATTTACGCGGATATCGAGTGTATTTTACAAAAATACGAAGATTCCGCTGCGACGGGAAACATTAAAAAATATCAAAAACATATTCCTTGTAGTATTTCTTATTATCTGTTGTGCAGTTACGATAATAATCTTTCCAAATTTAACTTGTATACGGGTAAAGATTGTATGAGCTGGTTTTGTCGACAATTACAAGAACTGGCCCTACAATTAAATCCTATATTTAACAATGCTGTTTCAATGACACCTTTGACTGAACATGAAAAAGAATCATTTTATACATCAACCACATGTCACATTTGTTCAAAACCATTTACCGAAAATGATTTAAGAGTAAAAGATCATTGTCATTTCACGGGAAAATATCGAGGAGTTGCTCATTCTTCTTGCAATCTTAATTACAAGGACGATCATATGATACCCGTGGTATTTCATAACTTAGGATACGATCTACACTTTTTTATTAAAAACTTGGCAACTGAAATTCCCGGTTCGGTAATATTACTACCTCGTAACAAAGAAAAATATATATCGTTTACAAAATATATCGAAAACACGAGCGTTAATTTTCGATTTTTAGATTCATTCAGATTTATGGCTAGTAGTTTGGATAAGTTAAGTTCTTATTTAGACCCTAGCGAAAAAAACATTACTAGAAGCTTTTGCGAAAATCTCGAAGAATTTCAGTTGTTACAGAAAAAGGGAGTCTTTCCGTATGAATATCTAGATGATTGGGAAAAATTGAACGACGTCGAATTGCCCCCGATTGAAAATTTCTATAGTAAACTTAGAAAATCCGGTATTACGATAAAAGATTACGAGCATGCCAAAAATATTTGGACAACATTCAAAATTCAAAATTTACGCGAATATATGGAATTGTATTTGAAAACAGACGTACTATTATTGACGGACGTTTTCGAAAATTTCAGAAATGTATGTCAAAAAACGTATGGCTTGGAATGTTTGAAATATTACACGGCACCGGGTCTGGCATACGATGCATGTCTTCTCATTTCAAATGTTCAACTAGAATTAATTACGGACATCGATCAATTAATGATGATCGAAAAAGGAATACGCGGTGGAATTTCACAATGCAGTAACCGATACGGTAAGGCTAACAATAAATACATGGAAAACGATTATAATCCAGACATTCCTTCATCATATTTAATGTATTTCGATGTAAATAACCTATATGGAACGGCAATGAGACTACCACTACCGACGGGTGGGTTCCAATGGATCGATAATAACGCATTTTATTCTATCATAAACACGTCGGACGATTCTGACGTTGGGTATCTTCTTGAAGTAGATATAGAATATCCTACAATACTTCACGATATCCACAAAGATCTACCTCTATGTCCGGAACGTTTGATTCCACCAACGGGTCAAACAAAACAGCCGAAATTATTGACAACATTGTTTGATAAAAAAAACTACGTAATACATTATAAAAATCTCAAACAGGCTCTTCAGTTAGGTTTACGTGTTACAAAAATTCATAAAATATTACAATTTAACCAATCTCCGTGGTTGAAAACCTACATTGACCTAAACACACACTTGAGGCAGCAAAGCAAAAACGAATTCGAAAAAAATTTTTTTAAATTAATGAATAATGCCGTTTTCGGCAAGACTATGGAAAACGTTCGGAAATATAAAGACGTTAAACTGGTAACAAGTTGGTCGGGACGATACGGTGCAAAGAGTTATATTTCAAAACCAAATTTTCATAGCTTAACAATTTTCGACAATGACATGGTTATCATTGAAATGAAGAGATTGAATATTAAATTTAATAAACCCATTTACGCTGGTTTTAGTATTTTAGAAATTTCAAAAACATTTTTATACGATTTTCATTATCATTATATTATACCAAAATTCGGCAAGGATGTAAAACTCTTGTATTCAGATACAGATTCGTTAATATATAATTTTTACGTTGACGATATTTATAAATGTATTCGAGAAGATATTCATAAATTTGACACTTCTGATTATCCTCCCGATAACATTTATAATATTCCTTTGACTAATAAAAAAGTTTTGGGATTGATGAAAGACGAAAACAACGGTAGAATTATGCACGAATTTATCGGATTAAAATCTAAAATGTACGCGATCAAATTATATTATTCAAATGTAGAACGAGAAAAATCTTCTAACAAAAAAGAAGTCGAAACTATTAAAAAAGCCAAAGGTATTACCGGTTCGTCATTAAAAACAATCACTTTTGAAGACTATTATAATTGTCTGTTTGATAAAACTCAAATGTATACCAACGAACATCTGTTTCGTAGTAAAAACCATGAAGTTTTTACGGTAAACCAAAGGAAAATTGTTTTAACACCGTTCGATGATAAGAGAGTGGTTAATTATATATTTACTGATACATTGCCTTGGGGATATAAAACAAATTAAATTTTATGTTAAAAAAAATATTCACTTGTTTTAATTAATACAATTTCATAAGCAGCAAAAACTCACTTGTTTTATCATTTTTGTTTTAATTAATTCAATTTCATAAGCAGCAAAACTCAACAATTTTAAATAAGACATTATTAAAAGGTAAGAACCTATTTGTTTTCTGTAGTCATAATTTAATACAATTTTTTTTCACAGCATTCTAACGTCGAGTCACTGAAAATTTGCGTTAAAGTGTTTAGTCAAGTACGAAGCAGCAGCAGCCATGAATAGTGATCGTTACGTAACAACAACAACCGAAAAAAAAGTGAAACAAGATGTTTCGGAAAACTCCAAAGTCTACTACTATAACGGTACCAAGTACTGTAATAGCTGTAACAAATCTTTTTGCTTTTGTGAAGAATCCATTAAAAATCATCCAATATGTAATATAAAATATTGTTCGCAATCAACAAATCGTTCGAACAATATAAGTTTATATTGCGACGAAGTTATTCCATCATCGTCGTCGTCGTCGTCGTCGTCGTCGTCACCACCAGCGGCCAAAAAAACAAGGATTTAGAACATACCCTATAGAAGAAGAAGAAGAAGAAATACGTTGTGGTGTTTAGCAAATTTATATCGGATGTAAATGTTTTCAATAAATCATCAATTTTATCGGTGCACATTTATTTAATTGTATTCACCTCGACAACCTTTTTAGATATTAATTTGTTTTCTATTCAAACTTATCAATGTAAATGTCTTAAATAAATCATCAATTTTATCGGTGCACACTTATTTAATTATATCGACCAGCGCGCATACACGACGACGACGCGATAACGTGCCGGCCCAGTTACGCTAGGGGAACAGCGCGCGCGTCGGCGGCGGCGTTTATCTCCGAAGGTTCGCGGTTCGAATCCCGCCCGCGCGAGACATCGGCGGCGGCGGCGGCGGTCGCTTTTTTCGGCTCTCAAAAATTTCTCACCCCCGCACCCCCACACCCCCCGTAGTGTCGAAAAGGCACTACGAAATTTATTTTTTCTACGAACCCCTTTTTTTACCGGGGTGCAATTGCCAAAAAGGCACTAGCGACTATGACGTCATAAAATGTTTTTTAATCAGTGACACCACTTTTTCCCCAAGGGGAGGCGCCAAAAAGGCACTATGACGTCACACCTCGACACAGGCGTAATTACCTTACCCACCCCCAGGGATCCCCGTACACCTGTCTACACCCTAATGGTGACAGTTTCCACTTCT